TGCATATGTTAAAAATGTTTTAATAAATTAACGTTTGTAGTTTGAAATTTGATAAAAATCATAAAAAACACTTATAATTGCAAACTATTTTAAAATTCATAAAAATTTAATTTTTATATCTTAGACTTATAAAATATAACACAAGATTCCATAGAAAGTTTTCTTATTAGAATATCACATTAATTTTAATGATAGATTTAAGTTCAAATATTGACAAAATTACATTTTTAAATGTAGATTAACTAATACCTAATTCAAATTATCATAACATTAGATACTCTATTGTAGACACGATAGCGATTTGTCGTAATTTTTTTTTTTTATTTATTATAATTAAAAAAAAATACTAAAAATTAAATATTAAAGTCCATAATAATAGTCATATTATCATATTTTTGTAAAATATTACTATTATTTTTTTTTTCTTTAAGTTTAAAAATATAATATTACTTTACATATTTGTAACTTTAAAGTTCTTAATGAGTTATAAGTACTTTCGGTAATTTAAAACAATAAAAATAGTTATGCACGCTTATAAAAAATTATTTAGAGTTCATATTTTCAACAAACTAAAAATTTAAATCAAAAATTACAATAGCAATTAAAAATAATTTAAAATTCAATAAAAGTTATCGAAAGTTCACTTAGTATTTTGTGGTTCAAAATTCATAAAATTATCTCTGTTTTAATATCTGAGACTTTAAATTTTAACTCGAAATTCTTCATAAGTTTTTCTAATAGTAATTAAAAGAACATGAAAGATAAATATTTATAATTATTTTTTATGACTAATCCCAAAACTAGGGACAATTGAAATGGACTATAAACCGAACAACTATCTCAGGGTATTTTATCCCACTATGAATTTTAACTGAATTGTATTGCCTTAAATTTTAAACTTCAAAAAATGTAACGTACTCTATATTTTATATGTAGCGTTTTGAATCATATTATAAAAGTTGAAATTAAATTATTAAGTTTAGTAAATAGGTATAGAAACAGATAAGAAATTGCAAATATCTACTAAAATATTATCAAAAAAATTGTATTTCTATTTATATATATTAGGTTGAAATAATGCAAATTTTGATTTATAATAAGTTATAGTGTACACAAATTTTGCAGTTTCAATATATTATAATACAATATAATACTATTATTTATAATATTATAATACAATAGAAAAAAATAATAGGTGCCCTATTGCCCTACCAATCTTTATATATTTATGTATAAAAGAATGAATAATGTTTAAATATTTTTCAAAGATATATTATGTTAAAATCCGCTTCTTTTAAAATGTATATTATATTATGATACATGTTTTGCATGCAAAATTACTTTCGTCTAACGTTTTCCACTTTTTAAGTAAAGAGGGTATTATTGTATAAATATTTTAATTTGATTCTTTTATTATCAATTATATACTTGATAAAATAAGTATATTAATATATTGTAAAGTTTTTATACAATAATTAGTGTACCATCTAAATACTCTATAAAAGTTGCTCATATAAATTTATAATAATATGAAATTAAACTTGTATTAAACATTAAATATTTTAATTGTTTTAAATTATTTATTTAATTTATAAAACTGAGTATGCGGGATAGACGATAAGTATAATACATGTGAGAAAACGTGCACGTGGTCAAATAACACCGTGGGTATCGTCATCTTTGTATTAAAAAAAAAAAGTATAACACACAATCCCAATACATGTATATTTATAGATAGGTAGTATTAGATGAAGAAAAAAAATAATATTTACGATATTTGTGTATGTGTGTGTGTGTATATAAATGTATTAAAAAGTTAATTTATTTACGGTAAGGAATATTATTTATAATTTATATCATGTAATTATTATTATTTTTTTACAGCAAAAACAATAAAACAGTTAAAATAAAAATGCGTTTGGCAAAAATAAAACCAATAAAAACTTTAATTATTATATTTTGTATTAATTTGAAAGAAAGTATTATTGTCTTTTATTTTAATTAAAAACGATAAAATATTTCAAACAAAGTTTTCTGTAAGAGATAAATTAATAAATTAGCATATTATGCATGTACATATTATATTGAACATAAATACATTTTAATTATTTTAATCAAATATTATATTTGTGTATTTGAGTTAAATAATTCACGGATCATTTTTAAAAATGATAAAATATTTAACATTTGTAATTTTAAATAATATCCAATATTCAATTTTTGTAATTTATTGTATTTTAAGAAAAATATTAAGTATCACAAATATATTTTAATCTACAAAAATAAACATATTTAAAAATTTTTCCGAACTAAAACGATATGTAATTTCATAATATTATAAATTGTTTACGTTATTATCATTTTAATTAAAGTACAATTTTTTTTTTATCTATACCATATTTCTATGCATATATAAATGTTAATTATATTTTAAACAACCAAACATTAAAAAAAAAATGAATTGCGGACGATCCATAAAGTGTATAACAGCTTTCAACTATGTAAACCTTACCAAGATTTTGATTATCTTGAAGCTAGCAAAAAATAACCCTTTTAAACTTTACCTCTCATCTATTTAACGGTTTTTGAAATACATTAAATTTACATCACAGCTCTTACTTAGTAACCACCAACCTTGTATAATTGCATTTTTTTTAATTTAGGGTTATTCCAAATGTAATTTGTTTAATTTATCAATAAATCTTGAACCACATTTAAAACCTCTTTCGAAATTGAACTCCAAAATTCTCAAATTTAATCCTAACACTTTCAATGTATTTTCTCCCAATAAATAATGAGCACTTGTTAGTACTATCTTACATCTGAATAATCACAATTTATACAACATACTTAGAAAAACCTTTATGACACTTAGAAAACAAATATTACACTTAAAAATGAATTACACAATTCATAATATGGACTGCATAAAGTCATATATGTATACTTTATTTATTCATTATATGTTAGAAATACGGGTTTTTTTTTTATTCAATTATAAATATAATTTATTTTATTGCCAAACGAAAAGATATAATTATTTTTCTCTATTATATCGTTAAATTAAAATTATACTATATATGATTATGATTTTACATTACATAGAAAAATAAATAAAGAAATAAGCAAAACGTTGATTACATTTTTAAAATACAAATTAAAATTAAAAATTGATTATAAATAAGCTATTTGTAACTAAAATGCTTTAAAATATATTTTTAATGGTAACATTTCCAATTTGTGTCTACGCGCGTATTGATTTAAATACTTGTTGATTCAAATTTAAAAGTAATAGTAATACTTAGTTGTTGGTTGTTATAATATCAATTGTTTCACGATGAAAATTTATTTATTTTTTAAATACTAAATGGTAATGGATATTATTTTAAAACGAACATATTATATTCAATAAGCAACTGACTAGAATTTTTAATATTACATTTTCTAATTAATAATACTAATTGTAATATAAATTTAAAAGTATTTTTATACTATTCTATTTTCTAATCGTAGTAACAATATTACGGTATCAATGAAAATTTAATTCCAATATTTTAACGAAACATTTATCGAGCATTATATAAAACAACACAAATATTTGTTTAATGTATCTATTTTATCATTGTTTCTAATAAAAATGTTTATTTTTTGCTGTAAATTTAACCGTTTAATGGTGTTTGTTATATTTTTGGCATGAGGTACCTAAATAGTATTACAATTCACGCACGATAAAAAGAGGTGCATTATTGTTCATTAAAATCGTTTTCTGAGATATTTTTCTGACACATTGGCATGATATTTTTTAATGACAGTTATAATATTTTTAATTGATTAATCATGAAACAACTACATAATGCAAACAGCTATCTTATGTTATAGAATTAATCTACAATAATACGTTAAATCAATCACCAATAACAAAAAAAGAAAAAATAACACGATAAAGTATTACAATAATGATAGGTTATGTAATATGATTATTATATATTAAAATAAGTTGTAGTGTGAAGAATATAAGAATACACATTTTTTCAGATAAAAGTGACTGAAAATTACAAAATAATTGTTAATTGTACATGCATTTTTAGGACATAATAATTTTCAGTTGTAACGATTTACTGTTACCCGTTTTATCAAACTTTGCAAATAGTAATGTGAACACATATCACGCCAAATTGCTAAACGGTCTTTAGAACGCGATAAAATATTTGATCGACATACATATTATTGTATCATTATCGACACTCATGGTATCGCCTTGTCGAGTTTATCCTCGCACATAATCGCCTCTCTATAATACATATATAATGTTCTAATCTTTTTTTTACCGATAGGAACAAACATTATAGAATCAAATAGTACAACTGCTAAAATATTTATATGGATGAGTTCAACATTTATAGATAGCCAGATTAGTCACAAATTCCATATCGGATAATTTATAAAACACCAAAGGTTAAGTTAAAATTAACTGTTATTTTTCATTTCAAGTTTAAGTCACAAACAAATAGGTACTCTATATCGTAATAATCCCTTCATTTCGAACAAATGAACTGACTATCAATAAGAAAATATCGATGAAGAGAAACTACAGTGTAACATCGAGGCAAACCATATTATATTAGCTCAAAAATGAAAAATAAAAATAAGAATATGATATTTCCGAACCGAATCGAGCCGATTCATAAGAAAAAAAAACCCCACGCGTCTGCTAGACAATAGCACGTGAACGATTCGTCTTGAATTCACCGGCATCTAAATAATAGCAGTTAAAAAAATAAAATAAAAATTTCAAATCTATTACATTAGCCATGAATCATATGTGCCGATAAAATGAAATATTTTTTGAAAACATTCTTTCGGGTAGTGATTCGAAGCACAAAAACTGCCCTGCAGTATACACGATACCTACGTAGTCGTATATTATTATACAATTTATAATTTAATCACACACACACACACACACACACACACACACACACACACACACACATACATACACACGCGCCAAAAATCGTACAATGTTTTTGGTCGTTTCCGCCTCCGTCGCCGCCGCTGCCACTGCCGCCACCGACTCCTACGCCTCCGTCACCGCTGCAGCCACAAAAACAAAATCGTCGCACTCAACCGTATATTATATTATATATACATACACACGGGTGGTCACCGCACCGTAACACGCTCATTAAGATACGTATAAATATACATATATATATCTCACGACGAATAACTCGCACGTCGTTTACTCGGCCGTGGACCCCGAGCCACCGCCGCCGGCACGCGTCATGGCTCGCCCGAGACCAGTGATAGGAGACCACGACGTAACCGCCGCGCGTGAATTATAGGCGCGAAACCGTCACCACCGCCCGAACGCGACGTGCTCCGCTCGCACCCGGACGAGTATAAAAACGAGCGTGACTCGCGCGGCCCGAAAGCGCACTGCGCCGAGACCGGGTTTGTCGCTCGCGCTGTAGGGCCGAGCGAAATCGGCGGTGGCGGCGGCGGCGAAATAATAAAACTGTAACGATGCCGTCATTTTGAGGGAGGTCGATGTGTATGTGTGTGTGTGTGCGTGTTTTTTTTTTTGTTTTGAGATCGTGATCCACGACCCCCACTACAAAATACGCCATGTCGGACGATTTTTTATTTTTATTTTTTTTTTTTTCATTTAATTGAATTTATCTTGTTTTTTTTATTTTTCTATTTTTCTATTTTTTTTTTTTTTTTGTTGTGGTGAAAATAGGGGAGGTAGGAATTCTGGGAAAACGGGACATCATTTTCGGGATGTTTATTTTCTATAATAGTTTGCCGCGCAATAAATAAAATATTGACATTTTTTTCGTGTATTTTAACGATGTAGTAATAGAAAAAACAAACATTTTATCATCAGCGTTATCGTTTATTTTTTAACCACAATCATAATATTATAGCTGCTATAAATAAATAAACTTATTAACATGGCACTCATATTTTCAGTGCACCTATTATATTCTAATATAATGTTTTGACTTATATTGAATGGTAGACGACGTCGTATTATTTATCGTATTACGCGCAGTCGATTAGTTTTGAACGCCGAGTGTTGATGTCCAATTTGAATTTTAGATGTTAGAGGCAATACACGAAACAATACTATTATTATAACGGTGTATAGCGTTAGTGGACAAATAATATCAAAATGTAAAAGAAAATGTTGAGTAACGTAAGATATTATTTGATGGCTATTAAGTCGATATCGACTTAATGTTGTACACCTATATTTGCAAGTATATTTTACAACATAGTAAAAATCTTATGTGAATATTTTTGCTTTTTACTGCCAACAAAAGTACCAACTAGATCCAATTTGCATAAAGAATTCACCCTCAAAATTCATTTTTATTGATCAAAACCACGAATATAGCAATAATAAAAAAAAAAAAAATTAGAAAATATACAAAACGTTGTAAAATCGTTATCGTTGATCTGCTCAGAATCATATTTGATTAAAATATTCCGTCAATAACACTAAGCTTAAATTATATTGATGGTATTGCTAAGTTACCCTTCAGGTTTTTCGTATGACTATAGTAAATAATATATTCATTAATGTTATTGCTACTAATTAATGATTTTTCTAATTCACTAATCATTGTCGATCCTATATAAATTCATTTTTTTAATACTTGTTGAAATTAAACAATTTTTCTATATATAATATATAATGAAATCGTTTAAATACTTTATTAAAATATTATGTGCAGTTACTCATAATAAAATGTTATAAAATACATCATATACAATATACGTATTAGTTTAATTTTACTAATAAAATTAATATAATTTTAGAGTTTCTATTTATGTTCATATTAATATACACTGTATTTCTATTTTTTTTCTTTTATTTTTTATACCTTGAATTTTTTACTTGACATTCAACTTTGAGTTAACCAAATTCGATCATATTTAGATTCTATATAAAATAGTGTATTTTTATTGTTCTACAAATAATGTTGTATAAACAAGAAGACAGTTTAGGAGGAAATTCGACCGGAAGAGTGATGGAGACAAAAATCTCGGCGATCGTTTAGTTTATTCATTTATTTTTAATCTCAAATAACGAAAAGCTTACCAAATAAATGCATAAAAAGGTTGGCAAAAAACTTCGAACAATGTTGGTACGTTTTAATGATTCGAATGGTCAAAATTATTTGATTTGCGTTGAGTTCAAAAATGCGGACTTTTGATTGCATTTACTCGTAATTTCAATTTGTTATATGGCATATTTCTTTGCGTCAACCAATGTTATATGAGCTTCCTTCATAAGTGAATAAAATTTTTTTTTCACTTAAGATAAAATTTATGTTTAATTATATGTCGTACAGTGTATACTGTATCTTATCTCATAAGTTAATTATGTATATGTGAATAAAAGTAACAGAATATGTTAATTAAACACTTTTTGATTCATTTTCACTTGACTAAGCTACACTACATTGAAAAAAACAGACACAATTAATAATATTCAATTTTCACTAAATTTCTACTTGTATACTCTATTCAACCACATTAACAAGAAAATGCACCTTATACCTAGGTATATATTTTCCGAACACGTTATTTAAAAAATATAAAAACTATATCTCAGAGAAAACTTGATAATTTAAATAGGATAAAGTTAATCATGTTATGGATTAATTTTGAAACCTGAAATTTAAAAATACTGAACTGAACCTAACTTTGAAATATGTTCTAATGTTTTCAAAAAATACTAACTTTTACTTTATGTCCATAATCCTACACTGAGCAATCGTTTTTGAATATTTATAATATACATTTTTTATTCATAAATTAGTTCTTTTCATAATCTAATAATTTAAACTAAATAATGTTTGATGAAAAAAAACAAAGAATTTATTTTTAATTTTGTCAAATTTTACTCTTCAATTATCATGTTTATAAGTCATACGTATCAAGTGTTCTTCTTAGTTAAAATTTTTAATATACTTTATTTCTTTCAATACTTTTCTGAAAGTATTTATTTAATATAGATCTCATTAGTTATATTATTATACTTGGTTTAATTAAATTGTTTTTTATTCTTTGATATTATTATTTTATTCTGTAACTATGATGGCTTATCTGTTTTTTTTTTATCCGTTTTCTTTAGTTTTTAATAATAATCCACACGTTATGAACCATATTATATTTATTCTGAGTACTTTGGTTTAAATTATTTAGTTGTTTACAAAGAGGGTAGTTATTAGTAATCATGAAATCCATTAAGATATTTTTTAGGTGTAAAAGAGTTTTTGTGACAGTCATAAAAATGTATTTTATCTAAGCAATGTTCATTTTTCAAAAAAAAAAAAAAAAAATTTCTAGTAAGGCACGTTATTGTATATTTTACAATGTAGTTTCCTTTCATTTTTATGAGGTTAAAATTTAATGTCGTTGAAGATTTAAATTATTGTATATAAATACGCACATTAATATTATACTGTAACTATTATGTATAATGAAAAATATCGTTGCTTAAGACCAGAAAAAAATTTAAATTTGCTATAAAAATTTCTTATGTTTTGTTATTACGGTTTACAATATAATATGACTGTCATATATTATCGATCGATTACGATTGTATCGTTTATGTACATAAAATATATTTTCTTAAGCAAATTGATATTTATATGTTTTTATCGTATATTATATATATATATTCAATAATAGTAATTTATGCATATTGTACACAATGCTAGATTAAAAAGTATCTGCCATACATAAATAGGAAAGCGGGTGTCGACGAGAGAAAAATAATTGTTCACACTTGATACGATAGTACGTCAAAGTACAATTATGTCCAAAATAAAAAGGAGAAAAATAATAATAAAAATAACAATCTCGAGAAAAGAAACGGAAGTTACTGAAAAATGACAACTAAAACTAGATGGAAATAATAGTATACATAACGCCATTATGAAACAATTTCCTGCTGTTCTCATCATGTCGTTCTTTTCGAATTAATAAAGAGCTTGGCGTGATAATATTATATATTCAGTTAGTTTGTTATCCGATCGGTAAGCTATAGCGCTGTTATATTATTAGGCCCGTCCCAAAACGGACATCCGTGATCCGGCTGTTAGCCGATAATACGAATATAACCATTGCTCGCGGCTGCGACATTATGTGCCTGTGGACTCTCGTTATGGACGTCGTTAATTGCGCATTCAAGTTTTGAGAAACGCGTTCAATGATGATACCAACTACCTCTTCCTAGTTTGATTGACTATAAAAATATTATCCTATTGAAACACATTGTTTATACTGCTTTATTTTAACCATTTAAAAATGTACAGTTTAAACAAATGTAGTAGCTTAAAAATAATTTTGTACTACATAAATTAACTGGGTAAAAAAGAATCTTCAACTCTCAGTGAAATTGAAAATGTATTAACTTATTGAAAATAATATCAAACACGAATAATTAATAAATTATTAATAACTATAATAGCTATAAGAATGAAAAAATCATTTTTAAATGAAAAATAATATAACAATACACGTTTGAGCCAATTGATTATTTTTGAACAAGTTAAAAACATACACACAAAAAAAAAAAAAACAAAAAAACATAATAACAATTTTACAGTCAAAAATATTCAACTATAAAATATTTCTTATGCTTATGTTAGTGATAAAGCAACTAAAAATTACTATTTTACCATGGGGAAATCATCTGGGAATCATTTGTAGTTTGAGTTTAAAGGAATAAAGTTCATGTGTTTGAACAAGTCTGATGTGTTCAAATATGCCGGTTGTAAATTATTCGCATTTTGTCAACTGTGGGGATTTCTACTGTTGATTTTTTTGTTAACATATAACATATCATGTTTTTATTTAAAAATTTAATGAAATTCTGTGTTTTATTCTTACGGATAAATTTTAAAATTAATATCTGATCTTACTGTGGTAAATACTTTACATTTTTTGTGTGCGTTATTATTTTACGCTTCGTGCTATATTTACAAAAATATATTTTGTATAAAAATTGTTATTAATACTTACTTAATTTAAATTATATTCATAACACACCAAATATATTTTGTCTCGAAAATCGCATAATACTATGATATTATTTTGATATATTATCGTCTATTCAATTTTTGTTATACAAAATTAATTAAAAAAAAAAAAAATAACTAGTGCTTTATTAAGTCGGTATTCAAAAGTGCATATTAAAAAACAATAATAATTAGTATATTTATATAGACATATTAATAAAATGTGTACAACAGCATTAATTTAATACTTATCAAATGATTAAAATAAGTTATTTAAATATTTTACAAACTATATTAATATTAATAATCTTATGATGATATCGAAATGCAACAAATAAAAAATCTTTATAACACGGCGCTTTGAATAGGCATTTGTGCTACAT